TGAAAGAAGAGAAGGCAATGAGTCACTGAGGTATAGCCCAAAACAATAGTCTTTTCTGTCTTTTTCGTCTATTCTTTTAAGATTTTTTCTTTTAATTGGTGCACAGATAGGACCAAACTAGAGAGGGTGTCATGAATCAATGCACTTTGAATTTTCAATCTCACTGACTTTGGAAAGGAAGTGATCTGAACATTTGGTTGAAGTTGTTTCTTAGTAAAATTTCCTAATATAGCAAGGGCTCAGGGTATATCTGTACTTGCATGGCAGTGTTTCCTAATACACAATTAAATATAATCACTTATATAAATGGTTTTCCAACACAATACTGGGTATCTTCATAGCTCCTCAGACTTGCTAATGGTTATAAAATTCATTTTTTCTGATTTGTTAGTAAGAGTCAACACTAATGGCCACCATGCTATTTATATAGACTTTATTTTCTCCTTTTTAAGATTTTTGACTACATCTATTTATGTAATATTGAACATGATTCTTTGGACCAATAACCTTCAGTTTTCCAGGCATTATTTATGAGATGCTGAAAAAAATAGTGTGTCTGATATAATGTTTTTATTCAAATTTCTCATAGCAGAGTTGGTGGCAGCCTTATGAACCCTTGAAGTCCAATGTATTAAGTAATATGATATAAGTAAAGACTGATTAATCTGGCAATACAGTTGGTCCCTGTTATTCAAAAAGGATATGCTTTCCAGAGAAATAATGCTAAGTTGTGAAATGTCATTCCGCTTTTCCAAAAACAGAGATTAATCAAATGAGGATAAGATAAGTGATCTATATTGTAAGAAAATTTGAAATGGTATGCCTGTGAGTTTGGGTTTTATCTTAACACAGTTAAAAAAAAAAACTGCTGAAAATTTTAAATAAAAGAGAGACAAACTCAGGTTTGTATTTTAGGGAAATCTCCTTAATGAGCTTGTGGGAGATAGGTAAAAGTGAGACAGACTGGAGGCAGGGAGATAAGAAATGAGACTCTTGGAATTATTCAAGCTAGAAAATCATTCTTAAGGTAAATGGCTAAAAGACAACATGGCATATTACCTAAAATCCAGGACTCTGATCCTCAGATTTGGAGGCTTAGATGCACCTAAGATCTTACATGACTTTTGGATGTTCAAAAGTTGTATTGGGCCATATTATTCAGTTAAAAGAAAAACAAGACTTTTTGGTTGAATTGTGCTGATAAGGGATTTATGGTGTGTGACAGCTGCACCTTGGAAACTAGACACAGTTGTTTTCTCTCTAAAAGGCCTCCCAGTCTCTCTCCCATCCGTAGTGCTGCTCTTTGTGTCTATTCCATCCACCCTGCTCTTTTAATATACTTCTCTTACTCAATTTCCACCTCCTCATAGTGTCTGCCTGCCTATGGCCATCATGGCTTCTCAGGCTTCATACTATATAATGAATACTCTGAGTGGAAAGTCAGAACTCCCTCGGTCACAGTCCCAAGACAGAAGTATGGAGGACTCTGCTCATCTGAGCAAGCCATATCCTGGTAGCTTACTCTGCAGTATTTTGGTTGACTCTACTTTTGTAGTGAGAGGATGGAAGGAGAATAAGGAAAACAAAGGATGAAATGATTATCTTTAGAAAGGATGGTGAAATAGACTTCCAGAGACAAGTTCAAGGGAGAATTAGGAATGCAAATCTGTTCAATGAAATAATCCATTAAATATGAAAAATAATGAACAGAAAGTTTTCTGATGTGATCCACTGAATAACTGGAATGCCAGCTACCTAAATAGGGAAAATAAGAGGAAAACTTTGGGATGAATGCAATCTTAGATTCATGAGTCAACTTTGTAGAAGAGACACCAATAGGTAGCCATATATATTGTTTGGCTTTTAAGAGATATTTGGTCTAGATGAAGCCATTTCTCTCTCATATCTCTCAATCACCACTCTCTATTTTGACTTCTGAAGTTTTCTGTTATGTTAGTCTTCATCACTGTTTTTCCCTCTTCCTTACCTTTCTACTCCGATCTCTTCCTTTATGTAATATTTTTTGAAGATTATATGTTTCTAGAATCTCAATTCTGGCTTCTCTTTATCTTCTTTTATATATTTTACCCTTCAAAATCTCACCAAATCCTAAATTAGTAAATACCATACTTATGGGTGTGAGTTATAAGTTATGATCTTTAAACAGACATATCCAGTTGCCTACACAATTTCTTTACATAGATATCTCATTGACATGTGAAGATCTTGACTGGAACCTCCAGTGGCTCACCTACCTCCATCCTCGATACCTTATTTAATAACACTCTAAGTCTCTTGTCTACACAAGCCAGAACTTGGGGACCATCCTTGATACTATTTTTGTCTTGTTTACCTCAACCTGTCAATTCTATGTTCAATATATATCTTGACTCCATTTTCTCCTTTCCTTCATTTCTACCACTACTATCAAAGAACATATTAATATAACTATTCAATGACTTCCCATTCCATTTTAAAATAAATTTAAAGGTTACATGATTCTCATCTCTTATCTTACTATGCACTTCTACCACACTGTATTCTAGCCCCACAGCCAGCTTCTTTCAAAAATTTGTTATTGATGTCTCTCATCCTCAAATAATCTTTACTGGGCAGGCACTTTTTTAATTATGTAAGGCAGGACTGAATAGGAAAATCTTGTCTATGTCCAATACAAAGCAGCCTCCTTTCCATTCTTCACATATTAATACCTTTTTCCTTTTTAATTTTCATAGTATTTTGCTCTCTGAAGTTTTGTTTTTCCCCCCATTAGTTTGTTGAAGTTTCATATTCCAATACTACTCACTAGAATCTAAACTTCATGAGCTAGAGATGCTGCTTTTCTTGCTTACTCCTATGTGTCTGATGCCTATAACAGTGCCTTGTAGATGTATTAAGTTAAGCCGTAGAATAAATGATTCAGTTAGTTCTCACAAAAGACCCTTGAAATTTCTTCTCCTTTCTATTATTTCCTGGGTAATCAATTTTTCACAAAAGACCAAAGATCATCCTCTGAAAATGTAAAACTAACCACATCCCTGCACTGATACAATCTTTGAGGGCTTTGTAGTTTCACTCAAGATCAAATCCACTTATGTTGGTTTTCAGGGCTATGCTCCTCAGTTAGGACACTCCACTGATCTTTCCATTCATGGTTATCAAATTCTTCTCTGGTTGGATCCCTCTTCGTGACATTCTTTGGATAGGTATTTTCTCTTCTTTAGAGTTTGGTATGTGACTTCTTTAGAGAGATTTTCCCTGACATTAAAGTAAGTTCCTCTGAAGTTTTAATCTTAATCTTGGATATATTTCCTCTTAGCGTTCATTAGTTTTTCAAGTACTACAATTATATATGTGCACATTTGGTTTTCATCTGCTTCTTCTACTAGCATGTATGATTACTATGGTTAGTATGAGGACTGTCTTGTTTTCCTTACTATCCTTGGCATCTAAGATGATACTTGGCATACTGAGATATTTCAATTTAAATGACATCAAATAGTAGTAGAAGATTTTACAATCAATGGGATTACCCATTGAAAAGTCCTAATTAAACCAGACTAAAGATATTCTTTGTTATATGTTTGTTTTGTGTTGTTTTAGGGCAGTACTTTGTTTTAATTTCTGAAATCTCTTTAGGTGTGGCAAGAATACTCCAGTTTATCATAATCCTCATAAGGTGTAGTATTGAAATATTGAAAAACAAGTATGACTTCACTCTTAGATAGAGGAGATAGAGGAGCTCTTACTTTGTCAGATATTAACCCCAGGAGGATTTGTTATCCAAGAGATTGTTGAATCATGAAAAGATCCAGGAGGACATACTTAAGTAAACTATGCCATTGCACTGCCTTTTAAATGAGAAGAAAGGAGATAGGCCTCTGGGCTATGGAAATCTACTGACTTTCCAGAGATTCTGGAAGTACTGAAGGGCTTCTACTCTTATCATCTCTAATGTAGCCCTTTCAGTATTTAAGTTTGTGACCTTTCTTGATTTAGAATAAGAAGAGAAGAGAACAGGGACTTGAGTCCTGGAAAATAATAACAGTCCAGGGCTAAGTAAAATAAAAGATCTCAGAAAGGAGCAGCTAAAGAAGAAAGAGAGGAAGGAAAAGAAAATGATTCCTCACTGCTTAGGAAGCAAAGCACTTTAAGTGGTTAGTTGTGTCAAGAGATAAAGATGGAGAATAGTTGACTAGATGGAGGACATTGAAGACTCCGAGACAAAAAGTTTCAGTGGATATTATGTATGAAATCAACTTTCAGTGGAATGCGAAATGGCTGTAGACTATTGAATGGGTATACTAAGAACAAAATATCAGGCACAGTGTACCAGGGGCATAGGGCATGTGGAGCCATGTTGTTTGTAGAGAATTTCCAAACAGCAATAAGCTGACTGAAGTCTGCCTACTTTTTAGTATTATCATCCTCTGGCAATTTTGAACAAGGATAGGATTAAAATTTTCCTCCCTTTGGATACCACTCTTAAAAAGAGGGCTAGTCTTATAGCCTGAAGAAGACATTTGGTCAAAGGAGGATGGTTCACTATACAACTAGAGAGACTTGAATATATATATATATATATATATATATATGTATTCAAGATAAATATTTTAATATTAACTAAAGCATTTTGAGAGCACACAGAATTCGCAAAACATAGAAATGATTAATGTTTGAACAAAAATAGAGCTAATGATTCCTAGGGGAGGAATCCATGATCTTTGATTTATAGTTGTTTCCTTATGGCTTAAATTGTAGATCTATTTTATTTTTTCAATTAACTCATATATTTTAACTATATTTTAAGTAGTCATTCGTTGTGCCTACTTTTGAAAATAATATTAATATTTCAAAAATAACATCATTTTTATAAATGTGACTGCTACTAACTTATTTCAAGGAATTTATGCAAAATAATTTACATGCATTGTGTTAATGGATATACTATAATCTTGCACTAAATTAGTGTCTTATTCATTTGCACTTATTTCATACAGGCAACAAATACTGGGTGTTCAAGGACACAACTCTGCAACCTGGTTACCCTCATGACTTGATTACTCTTGGAAATGGAATCCCTCCTCATGGTATTGATTCAGCCATTTGGTGGGAAGATGTTGGGAAAACCTATTTCTTCAAAGGGGACAGGTTAGTACTCATATAACATGAGGGAAGCAGCTAATTAATGCTTCAAGCTGTCCACCTTTCTGCTCTGTCATGGGCATGTACCGTTGATGAACCATGTGTGTGGATATAAACACGAGTAAATGCAACAGAAAATACTTAAAGATGTACTCTAAATAATATTTAAAATAAATTTTCATGTAATTATTCAACTAACATGAAGTTCTTATGAACATATGTATGTACAGTAGTGCATATTTTCTCCATGTTCTTAACATGGCCATAGAGCTGTGTATGCATTGTAAATCTTTGCCCTTGCAATACATTTTCTTGTAATTTTACTTATTTGGGAAAAATAAATTTTAGCACAGGCTATGTGTTTTTGGACACTCAAAGTTAACACTTTACATTTTACACACAATTATTTACAACTATTTTCAAATAATTTCAGTTTATTCATAAATTCTATTTCTTAAGAGCCTATTTATTTACATATTAGCAAGCAGATGTTGTGAACTATTGACAAACTTCCACTGGGATAAAAATTTAACGTACAATGTAATATTCTTTCCGTGCTGTTTTACTCTTATTTTGATGTCTTTTTATGAAATTGTTCAGAGGGACTATAAAATGTAAGTAAATTGTTAGTCTTATAACTCAGAGTAGCTACTGGCTATACATAGATACACCCATGCCCATTTTTGGCAGATATTACATATAAAATATAGGTAAGTTGTAAACAACGTTTTATTTATTTAAATAACTATTACACAGAAAAATGAATAAAGATGAAAAACAAAATTTCAGTTACCCTACTTCTAGCTGAGTCACATCATTGAAGCTCATAATTATTCTTTACTAGCTTGTAGAAGGACTTATATATGCATTGTATTGCCACACACACACACACACACACAAACACAACATGTCAAACATGTCAGTTAGACTGTATCTTATTATCATAGCATAAATTAACTCCATAAAATGGCCCCAATTTTAGGAGAATAATAAGTAAGGTTATAAACTGTATTTTGAAATTTACAGTTTTAATTGAAAACTATTTCAGAATAAATGAATTGAGCTTTACTATGAATAAACTTCCTATAATTTGCATCCATGAAAAGAGAAAAACATATACTTTTAATTTTATTTTGTTACAAATTTTATGTACATAATATTTGTATAGCAAAATGTTTGTAGATTTTTATTCACTATAATGAAGCCAAGACTTGGCTAAAATGTTTCTTACAAAATTACAAACAAAGTGATCCATCAAAAAATGTTACTTTACAGCCACAAAAAGTATAATAACTCTCAACAGGATGTAAGTGCAATAGAGTATGAAGGAAGAAGAATGAAGAACTTCATTGCTAAAACATAGTGACCACTAATGAAAAAGAAAAAAATCCACACACTCATAACATTCTCCAGCTAATTATAATTGCATGTATATGCTGTACTAGGACTGGATCCAAAAAAGAATGGGGTAGAGAAACCAAAGCCTATGGTATGACCTTGGAGAAATTAGCTAAGAAAATGTTTGGTTTTCCTATAACAGTTCAAAGAAGAGTTTTATAGATGATATTAAAAACTCTAATTTTATAATCAGATAGCCCCTTTTGTGTATATATACAGGTACTGTTGTTTAAAATTTTTCCATTCTAAAAATGTAGAATTTATTCAAAAATTTAAGTTTGCAGATTAAATATAGGGTACATTAAATTAGTTAAATCAATGTAGGTTAATGCCAAATTTATGACTGCAGATAAATGGAAAAATATTTTTAATTCATTTGTTTTCTACTGAAAAGTTGTATGCAAAATAGAGCACAATGTATAGAAATACTTTTATTATTTTTCTTCACTTAAGTTGCTGTACTTTTATAGGCTTTAAAAATATTGCAGTAGGATTCCAAATAATTTCTGTTTTTGATTTTATGAAAGATATGAGCTATAGATGTTTTATAATCGCCTCTTGGCCTTTTGACTAAGCTCAAGGGTAGCTGTTTTATAAACAGATTACTTTATATTTGTGTAATTATATAATCCCAGAGTGACATTTGTCAGTACTGTACATTCATTCTAGATTTGATGGCCTACCTAGCTTTCCCTAAATTCCTGCAGTGACAGTGCAAATACGAGGTAGCTATTCCATTTTCAACAGCTTTAATGTCTATTTCCTTAAGATTTTTGTACAGAGCCTGGCCTAATCCTGATTAATATATTCAAAAATTATTTTGAAACATATACTCTGTGACATGGGCTTGGAAATGAAGATATAGAAATTATCACCAACTCCTATTTCCTGCTTGAGCAGGGGGAAGTTTCAGCTATATGAAGCTACTCTGAAAAATGTGTTGTAGACAGATGAGACAGCTGTGGAAAGGCAGTAATTTAGGAGTGAAAGTGGATTGTTCAAAAGCAAGAAAAAGCACTGTAGCCAGTGATTAAGTGATAGAAGAGGTCAAGCAGGTACATACAGACCAGATTACGTGGGGTCCCCTAGGCCTTGTCACAGAGTTCAGCCTGTGTTCTGAGTACAATGGAAAGGCCTTGGCAGGTTTTCAACAGGAAAGTGCTGTGATTTGATGTGATTCACAAAGGTCATTCTGTCTTCAGTGTGAAAAATGGACTTCAAGAGTGGAAGCAAATGAAATAGTTGGGAGGCTGGTAAAGGACTGGTGTGAGACACGGCAGAGGTGGTGGAGAAGAAGCAAAGGGAAGGTTCCAGCACACATTCTGTGTGTAATCATAACAAGTTCTCACGGCTTTACTTTTATAACGGAGGGGAAAAAAATCAATGGTAATTTCTAGGTTCTTCCCCTAAACAATTGAACGAGCAGTATCATTTCTGGAGGTAAAGGAGTTACGAGAAAAATATTGGGGTGAAGGGATTAAGACATTGGAATGTCCCTGTTTGAGACACCAGGGGAGAGAAGGCAAGAAGGTACACCAATAACCGAGTTTGTGACTTAGTGAACAGGCCAGGTAGGAGCACACATTTGAGAGAAGTTGACATTAAAGATGTTGAAAGCAGAGGCCTTTATGAAATCTAGTATAGAGATAACCAAAGAGTAGAGGAAATGGTGCTTCTTTAGATAGATCTGTAAATACAGATTTAAATATCTACTCTTTCACTATTGCACATACTGCATGGGATTCAGTCCCTCAGATTCCTACTTGCCCTTTTCATAGTATACTACAATTTGGTACTTGGATACATTTTGATTTTCATAGCATTTAGCTCTAAAATGCTATGTTTCTAAATCATTCTCAATGTCTTCTCACAAATACATCAAAGATTCTACAGCCATATTTCATTCTAAGCATAATTGTTGAAAATTTTAAGCTATTTTCAAATAAAATACACAAAATATTGACCTGTCTTGGAATTTTTATAAATTATCATTAATAGTCAAATAAAAAAATAATTTTCTTTCATCTATCCTAAGTTGTGAGTTTATAATTATGTAATATATGCATTTTTAATCATTTAATAAGATGGTGAAAGTTAATATTTTTGGTTCTATTGCATTTTTAAGGCTCTGAAGAGAGGAACTTTGATTATTTGGGTATGAAGAAATTACATGTTCTTGCATTTTGTGGTAACTTAACAGAATCAAGAAATCTTATCTCTGAAACTAACAGTTTAGACTAAGTTGGATTTTAAAAAAAGATGAGTCATCTGAAATGACCATTGGATCTAGTTGGTATTCAGTTTGGAGTTCAGTATTCAGTTACATCCCATTGAAAAATTTTACTCCAAAATTTTCTGTACAGTTCTTACTAGCACAGGAAGAATTTAAAAAATTTTGTATGCAATTATATAATTTGTCTTGTATGGTTGTGATTTATGTTGAAGCCTAAATCTTATTTCTGATCATAATTTATTTTGAAACATTGCCTAAGAATGCTTTTCTCAAAGAATTATCTAATTAAAGACAAAATCTGAAATAGAGATAACTGAAGAAACAGAAGAAAAAGCTATGTTAATTTTTAAAAGCTATATTCAGTTATCATAGCTTTATTTTTTCCATTATAAAATCTGAAATTTAAATCCCTCAAATGGTTTCTTTAGAGTGTTAAATCTGAATATGCTAATTTGAAATTTAATTAATCCATAAGTTTATTTTTCAGGGAGGAAAATATCAATGAAATGACTTTTTGATTCATGTTGAAATATGTTCAAATGTGTTGGGAATTAAAATATGAACCTATCTTTATGGATAAACCCTATGTCTTTTGAGACAAGCATAAATGTAGTTAAATAACTCTAATCATGCTTATGCTTACTTGATAAACAACAATGCAACACAAAGCAGACATTTTGAGTGTTCAAGCCTATATTGAATTTTTCAGATTGTGAAGTGATCCCAAATTCCAATTTTATATTATCACTATGAGAGGAAAATATTATTTTATTTTGACAAATTTATATAAGAATTATGTTCTTGTAATGGAGTCTAATAAAATTCACATTCCACAAATATATTCTTGAAATATGATCTCTGAATGTTATGGGTATAGCATACAGTATATACCTCAAAAAAACATTGTTGGGTAAATGGATCTATGAATAAATATAAAAAACAATAAATGGAAATTATATTTAACTGTTTGAATGAAAACACCAAGAGAATAAGAATGACAGATAAATTCATTATAAGAATGCTTTTTTGAGGGGAATACTAGCAGCAACGTGTTAAAAACCACACTGAACTATGAATCAGCATTAATTTGAATTTTGTTTCTACCACAAAAGCAGAGCAAAGGTGACTAAGTCATTTACTTTTGAATAAAATAATGCCCAATGCTCTATCATTGATTGAATTGATGGATAATATATTCTATAGCTGTAGTTAGGATACTATAATGCATAACATAATATACAATATAAAACATTATTAAGACTTAACTGAAGTAACCAAAAATAATGGATTGTATAAATTTACCTTATAGGTATAAAAAGTTCCATAAAGTATATGTATTTGACATAAGTAATAGTGTAACTACTTCCCAGTAAACTAATCTCATTTTTAAGTATGCAGTATGTTACTAAGAAATCACATTGTTCCCACAATTTAAAACTATTCCAGACTTCTAGGTTGGCATTTTAAAGCTCACTTTAACTTAGGGTTTATATCATCTAAAATTCCCATTTATTGTAAGATATATCATTATTTGATCATCAATGAAGGGAAGAATCTGCCAAGCAAACTTTGACTTTGTATTCATTATAAAGTACATTCTGAGATCTAGAGAAAAATAAGTTTTTTAGTGTCTGTGAAATAAGGTATTTGTTTCCCCATGAGAAACTTTCTTTAAGTGTGGAAAGCAGTTAACATATAGGACTGCTGTAAGCCTCACTGCGGTTGATTCATAAAGAGAGTTTATGGGCAGTCTCAACCACATTAACCATTCTGTGTTCATCATAGATTGTTCCAGAAAGAAGGAATATTCAGAAACAATTTAAAATGAGGTGTTTCCTCAAGCCAAAAGTGAAAGAAAAAATATTTCAAAATTGATACTATAATATACTAATAATTTTGCTTCACTATCTTCTTCAGAAAGATAGGTCCCAGCCACTCACCATTATTTCGGCACAGTGCTTCTTCATGAAGTTTTTCCTACTCTGCTCCTCTGATCCACTGTCATTTTCCATGTGATAAGGTTCTGTGAGAAACACCTGTGAGAGTTTTTTTCCCTCTTTGGATAACCTCTGCCTTGTGGGTTACTAACTGGAACACTTTTTGAAGCAATGTTTTTCTCCTTTCCATGTAAAAATTAAACATAGAGTAGTGCTAATATGTCAGTGTTACTCGAGTAGGGTTTCTAGAGATTTAAAACAAAACCTTCTAGATAAAATCTCACAGCTCTGTAAATGAAAAAATCTTCCAAAATCCTGTCACACCCCCCCCACACACACACAATGATAGCCTCGGTGGAAAATACTTATATTTTTCTAATTTCAGGTGACATGAAAAACGCAAAGATATTAAATAATCATGTCATTTTCCAAACCTATGTTTGTAAAACACTAGCTTCTGTAGAGATCATAGATACCTAGTTGAAGACAGAGGAAGGTTGCCAAATAAATTTGGGAACATATTTTGTGATGTCAAATAAATGTGAAAACTGTACTCATATAGAAAATCATGAAGAATTTTGAAATTATACAAACCTTGTTATATATATGGCTGTCATCTCTTGTTGCCCTCAAGAATTTTCCTTTTGCAAATGGGGACAATGATGCCTATCTCATGGTTTTTTTAATGACCTATTGATCTAGCATTGTGCTTAAAATAGCCACTTTTGCTGTGAACTCTCAATGGTTTTACCTCATTTCCTCAATGCTTCAGAACATTCAAAGTATAAACTTGTATAGGCCAGAGATTTAGCTCAGGTACTGAGTTTGATGCCTGGTACAAAAAAAAATATATATATATATACATATATATATATATATACACACATATATATATATGTGTATATATATATATATATAACTTGTTTTACTCTTAGAATATATGGATAATAGTAATAACAATAGTTATAATGATGGTTCCATGGAAGTCTGGGAGTTGTGGAAATGTGGCCCAAGTTCTGTCCTGTGAGAGGACAGGAGCTGATTATTCTGATTCTGTGCTTCACTTCTATCTGTTTTACTGTCTATACATTGAGGACTCCAGTCAATACCGGTCCTAAGGTCTTTACTCATACTCAATTTCTTCATCTACAGTTCCACTTTGATGTCTGAATTTAACACACACTCATGATTCTTCTAACTATCCTAGTTTAGCTTCCCCTTCTTCTTCATGGCACATAATTCTTCCTAATAATTAGACTCAAAATTCTTAAGTCATATTTACCTTCCTTCTCTCTCACTCCCACAACCCAATACATTAAGGCCTTTGAAATATTTCCTCAAATGGATCCCAATTCCTTGAATTATTATGAGCTCTATTGCTTACTCCCTTATTCAAGTTTATTGTAATAGCATCTGAACTGATGGCCCTGTTTCTATTTTATCTCCTTCAAGTACTTAAACAACCAGTGCATTCTTTTCAATAATAAACCATATTTTGATGCATCTCTGCTCAAAATGTGTAAGTCTTTTTAAGAGAAAAGCCAAAGCCTTTGCTGTAGTGTGAAGGCCTATCTAATCTTAGGATCTGGTTCATACTCTGACTCCCCATTACTAACACAGTTCTAGTCACCCTAGCCTTTGGTAGATGGGAACTGTCAACCCATAGATGCTCTTCCTAAACTGTTCTTCTCTCAAAGACTACATGTATTGTTCCTCACTTTTTGCTCACATGTCAGCGTATGAAAAAATCTTCTTTGTCTAATAATATAAAATGCCTTCAACGTATTCCCAGACAAACTTATCTGCCTTGCTTCCTTTATAGTTATCATCATCTCCTATCATAGTATATATTTATTAATACATTAGGTTATTATGTGTGTCATAACATATCCTAAAATCTAAGATCAATGAGTGATGGGCATGCCTTTTTTGTTCAGAGTTGTTTATCTTGAACAATCAAGATACAATGTTCAAGGATATATATGGGTTGATGCTATACTTATGAATTGTAAATATATCTAGCATACTGTACTTAGCATCTTTCAATTTTAGCAGACTGAATAAGTCCTCACTTTTAGCATATGCAAGATATGTACAATAACATATACATTATTCACATTTTCTGGAGAACAAAGTAAATGCTTTCAGTCCACTCTTTCCAGTGATTTGAATCAGATGTTCTGCAATCAGTAACAGGTATACAGTATCAACCATAAAGCAAGGATTTGATGGATGTTAGCTATAACATTATATACATAATTGTTTTCTATGCATGTATTGTTGTTGTTGTTGTTTTGTCCTTTTCAGGTATTGGAGATATAGTGAAGAAATGAAAACCATGGACCCTGGCTATCCCAAGCCAATCACAGTCTGGAAAGGGATCCCTGAATCTCCTCAGGGAGCTTTTGTGCACAAAGAAAATGGTATGCATTATGTACATTATACATTTTATAAGTGTATTACTTTAATAAAACATTTTACTTTTTCACTATGTTAAATGAAATCATTGGAAAGTGCTATACTTGAGCTACATAATATCAAAATAACTGTATAAATATATAAATTTATCTAGATTCACATTTACTATTATGCTCTAGATATTAGTTAAGCTCAACTTATTTAAGTTTATTTTGAAAAATCATTGAAAACTAGAGTTAAGCCTGGGATTTAGCTTAGCGGTTCTGCCTCCTGCCTTGCAAGCGCAAGGTCCTGAGTTCAATCCCTGGTACCAAAACAAAAACACACACACACACACAAACAAAAACAAAACTAGAGGGAATACTTTAATATGGAAGGCATGGATACTTCTGAAATAACCTCATCTATATTTCTTTTTAATATCCTGTAAAGATAATAATAATAAACATACCTGGGAAAGGAACTGGCCTCAAGAGGAAGATATCAGTGCAGGCTGAGGCACTAAGACACTTGTTGATAATGCATGTTGAGGGTTCTAAGTTTTCATGTATTCTTTGGCATAGAGTTTTAGCAGACAGAAAAGATCCCCAGTCCCATGTAATCAGACTAAAGTGGATGCAAAATGACCTAAGAGTAAGACACAAGAGCCCTTGTATATGATCTTTGTCAATCATAAAATCTAATATGATGGAATCCTGAAACATTTTCTGTAGTTCACTCATCTAACATCGAGAAATCCATTGTTGTAAGAATCCTTTCCCAATGAGAATTTTTTTCTTAAATCTAGAAGCTTAAAATTAAACTATACATTTGTATGTTTTTGAGTTAGGGTGAAATATGCCTCCCTATAATGTCTACCTTGTAATATTATTGCTGCCATTTTGGTCAAGGAAATAACATGATGATCTGGTGTCATTTCAATGCCTACTTTGTGTCAGTTGTTACATAAATTATTTAATTTAATTGTTCTACATAAATGGCTCTTTTACCAACACTGTTTATTTATTTTTACCAATACTCAGATTAGATACCTCACTCCTGATCCTAAGATTAGTAACATCCATAACTAATTCTTGAAACTAGAACATTTTAGCCCCAAAGAATGTGCTCTAACACACTGTCTCCAAAGGTAAACCTATTATTTTCTATGATGCATTGTTAACAGTAACTGATAATCTAGTATATCTGGTTAAAGTTGTCATTTAATCATACTGTACTCTCCCAGGTTTCTTCAGGGTGTGGCTTTCTGAGCCACCCTCCTTGTGCTATCCAGTGGAACCATCCTAATTTGGCAATTTGCTTGTTTTCCTCTTACATGTTTTTCTTGCCTTTCTTCTGCTTTACTTTTAGTTTTTCCCAAATAGCTACAACAATTCATATCACAATTGATTCATGCAGAATATAGTAGAATACTTGTTTTTTTTAACAACTGTGTGGGCTTCAACTGTGCTAAAGCCAGATGAAGAATCCTCTTTCAGTTGGTTTTATATTAATTGCTATAAAGCCACACCTCTCAAGTATTCTATTTTTCTCTTTCCAGCTTGAAATTTGAAGAAAATATAAGATTCCAGTGTTAATACCATTTAGCCCCATGTGTAGTCTCTTAAAATTCTTGGTTCTAATTATTTGGTGTGTTAATTCTCCATTTCTATGCTCATAGTCTGTTAAAATCTAGAAGCTTATTCATGTAGATATTTCCACAAAAGTCTCTTTATCCGTTAACATTTATTAATCACTAATTAATTTTAACCAATAAAAATCTAAGAGCAGAAAACAGGATAAAAAGCACACTACCATGGGAAAACATCAATTAAGCTATAATAAGAAAACTCTGGTGGACTGTCTCATTGCACTGTTCGAATGAAACAACATAGAAAATAGTCTGTAAGGTCCAAATATAAGAGAAGAATACCATCAAGTAACATGTTATAGCCTCATGAATTTTTCTTTCAGATTTTCTTTTCTGAAAATCTGTGGGAGGATGAGATGGGTACTGCAGATGAAACTCAGGGGTTCTCTATCACTGACTACATCCCCAGCCCCTTCTATTTGTTATTTTGAGACAAAAATCTCACTGAGTTTCCCAGCTAGATTTGAACTTAACACTCCTACTGCATCAACCTCCAAAGTACTGTACTTTGGCTTATGGGATTGTGCCATCAAAAATTTTCTTAATAAGCATAATACATGTAGCTGATTTTTTTTAAATGAAACTCCCTAAACATTTCTTCAAGTAATATTACATAAATGAAAAAAGACAAAATTATTGAATAAGATGGATTTTGCAGGATCAATATTTGATTTACATATCACAATTTCAGACTTTTCAAATCCTTACATTATTTATCTCATAGTGACTGGATTTTAATTTTTAACAGGTGAATTCAGTACTATAAATACTACTCATATATGTAATATGGTACTCCAAAATTTGGCCTGCAAACTTGAGAAGTATGAAAATGACAATTTCTTAACTTTTGCATGATGCCCAGTAGCTTTGTAGCAATTAGCTTTGGCTTAAAATTGAAGATTAGTACACTTTAAGCTGTTAGTTTCCAGTTTATAAACATAAAAAGTATGTTCACCTGTTTGAAGATTTGTTTAATGGTAAATCAATGCCTTCATTCAACTATGACCATCTAATGTGCTGTTATTTGGCAGGCCCTCAACATGTCTTCATCCAAGTTTGTTGAGTAATTACATTGGATTTCATTAGAGTAATCAAATACCAGCTCCCTGTAGAAAAATTTGAATCTACATGCACCTGTTTTCATTTGGCAAGTTTCTCCAATTACAAAACTATCCTTTGAAATTAAAAGCAACAGCAGATTTTTATGGCATTGAAAAGAATTATTTGCAAGATGAGGTGGCCTGAAGTGATGGTCTATTCTTTCTGAAATTTCATGTGAGAGCTCACAGTTCTTTATATCAACAGTTATATCTATTGCAACTTTGATGTTTAACTGACAAAATCACTAAGTGTGCAGGCTCTAGTTATAGATCAGTATTTAAATCCTGCTTTCACCAGAATATTGGAAATTTTTGTTTTATTTCTGAGCCTCATTTCCCTGAGAAGAGTGGGTAATTAATTATACTTGACAGTGGTTGTGAGGGTTAAAAGAAATAATAATATATAGTAAGTTTACAACACTATGCCTCCCCTATACAATACAATAAAAAATGAGGAAAAAATAATCCATTAGTGATTATGAACTCTTATCACTTATATTAAAAATAGACAACTCCCAAAATACAGTTTTTCAAGTAATTATAGCCTTAAAATATTTTTCTTGGTGCTTTGATGAAACCAAAAATTAAGACCAAATAGCACAGTCACAAAACCAACTTGCATGAAAGAGCTACGTACAGAAAGATTGTGTGTATGGAGAACCATCCTAAGAAATTGCATATATTTGCAGTTTTTTAAATTAGAACCTTATAAAGACTGTTATTTGGACCCATAATATATCGAAACAGCATACACATGGTTGAGTTATTTGAGCCAGACCATGTCATCCTCCATGAATTATAATTTACTTAGAAATATTAAAATTAACCTTATAGATCTGTTTATACCATTTCTATAAAAATGAGTAATGTCTTTACAAGTTCTATAAAATAATGCTAGCTGACAAAAAGTTAACATAAACTAAGTAAATAAGTTAAATAAAGGGGACAAAATAACCCTGCCCCAGAGCCAGAAATGAGTTTAGTGCCCATAATACTGTAAATATCTATTTAGTTGTTAAGATTCCTAGCAGACCAAATACCTACTGTCTGATGATTTATGATGACTTCTTGTCCAAGTGACAAAAGGAAACCTGTTGTTTAGGAGTAGCACAAGGATGCCTTATACTAAAATGATGAGAAATTTCCCTTGTGGTTCAAAGAAGCGAGAAGTGTTTGTAAAATGTATTGAACAATGTCCTCCGTGGCAGTCTGAGGGTAAACACTGTTCCAATTTATAAAGCTGTTTCAGCATCTTTCAGTGTAGGCTGATATTATCACACTAATGTGTGATTCCGTGACAGCACTCCTGCAAGCCAGGAAAAAGAATAAAGTTCTCTTTCTAGTGCAGAGTAGGAGTAGCTGCACAGAATTTGGTCTTGTGCCAGTCTTCTGTAGATACCATTTCTCTGCCCTCCTCTTTGCTGAGCTTTCCTTTGGTGTTAGGAGACACAATCTCTGGAACACAGCAGCCAGGGCCACTATAAAACAACTGATAGTATTTTCTTCTTATGAAAACTGGAGTGCCTTAAGATACATCTTTTAAGAAGCCTGTCTCATTAACATTTCTAAACATGGACACTTTCACAACTAAATTCTATCCATGTGTGTGTTTTCCCCCAGGCTTTACTTATTTCTACAAAGGAAAGGAGTATTGGAAATTCAACAACCAGATACTCAAGGTAGAACCTGGATATCCGAGATCCATCCTCAAGGATTTTATGGGCTGTGATGGACCAACAGACAGAGATAGAGAAGGACACAGCCCACCAGACGATGTAGACATTGTCATCAAACTGGACAACACAGCCAGCACTGTGAAAGCCATAGCTATTGTCATTCCCTGCATCTTGGCCTTATGCCTCCTTGTATTGGTTTACACTGTGTTCCAGTTCAAGAGGAAGGGAACACCCCGCCACATACTGTACTGTAAACGCTCTATGCAAGAGTGGGTGTGATGTAGGGTTTTTTTTCTTTCTTTTCCAGAAGTTTGTGGTAACTTGAGATTCAAGACAAGAGCTGTTATGCTGTTTCCTAGCTAGGAGCAGGCTTGTGGCAGCCTGATTCAGGCTGACCTTCCAAACCAGAGGGTTGCTGGTCCTGCACATGAGTGGAGACACACTCATGGGGAAGATTACATGATGCACAGTTATCTGCCGTTCTTCAGTCCTTTGTCTTTCTTTGTCATGCAGTTCTAGGCCTTTCCTCTGCACGTTCAATGCCCAGTAAGATTTCTGGATTACCTAAAGAAGAGGAAAAAAAGAAGAAGAAAAGATGCTTCTTAAAGGATTTTAATATTATTTACCTTCTGAAGTCTGATCCCATTTCTGGGAGAGAAAAAATAAAAAGAAGCAAAACAGAAAACCCATAATTTTTTTTTCTTTTTTTTTTGCTTTAAAGCAAAGGAAAAAAATTCCACAATTGAACTTTCAGGAAAGTGTGAAGACCCAAAACAGCTTTGTCTCCAAAGAAGATAGCTCTGTGACTGCTATGGATAGTCTCCTGCACATCACTTTGTCAGGTGGGAGATCTGGAATACACATGCAGGACTTCAGACTGTTGGGACAGCCATTTTCCAACAAACAAGGGGCCAAAATATCTGCAATATAGTAACAGCCTTAATAATACATCCATTTTTCATTTTCTACAGCTGTTCTCAGCTATGTCCTCAATGTTTCATCACATTTATATTCATAGCTATATTCAAACAGGATCTTTTAATTGTTTTGAAGTGTTTCTAATCCCCTTCTTGCCACCAGACCCCTACATCATTGTGATAATCTGCCCAGGTTGTATTAGGCCATTGCCCCAGGCCTTCCATGGGTCTGTCAGGAATATTCATTACAAAGCAGAGCAAAAAGCACCATGTCCTGAGGTAGATTACAGTGACAGTCATATTATAAGGATCGATGACTCTTGTAATACATTGATGTAACCCTTTGAGAACTATCAGACCTGCTTTAAGAGTCTTATTATCCAATTAGAACTAGGCAATGGTAAAACAATCACAGGTTGAAGAAGTTCTGGCTTTTATAACGTATTCTCTGATCTCATGTAATTCTTGGGTGATTTACAGCAGTAAATAAATGCATTTATAACAAACAGATATGGTGTTACTTGCCAAACATTTTCTGGCAAATAAAAGTGATATTTTGTTAACAGTACCTTATAAGAGTAAAATTTTATTTCAACAACTGGTTATAATAACCTAAGTCTTTTTTCCCTTAGACAGACTGTATTTTTATTTTAAAATGCATTGCATGAAAATTGAATTTACCTTGGTACAATGCAGTCAACATTGCCATTTAAAAATGAATTAAAATGGTGACTCTGAGATTGCATGAATGTCCTCCAGTGCATTACCTATTGCATGTCAACCATAGTTCTCAAAGGGTTAGTGTAGCTTCTGGCATTTAGCCATCCATTAGGTCACTGACAGAGCCAAGAGATCACCAAAGCATTTCATTGTTGAGTGTAATTTGTCCAAACAACAGTATTGTCATTTTCATGTGACCTGTAGAGCAGGTTTGTATCAATATTTTTTTCCTAGAGAAAAGTCAGCAACTGACAGACCTCTTTATTGATTTTTAGGAGCTGCTTCTTGCAGTGAAAGGCTTTACAGCCACTGGGCTGTGAACTTATTAGAGATGGTCAGAAGGAATGCACCCCATGAGTCAGACATTGGCTTTGTGTGAAAGCCAGCTTTTGAGGGGATTAGCTTTTGAAACAATGAACAGCTTGCCTTGAACTTGATTATTGATCTGTTGACTGTCATTAACAACAACTTAAACATTGTCTTCTGTGAAAATTTTCCTTGAAGAGTCCTGTTCTATGTCTTTGCCCTTTGACTTTTAACTTGAAAACTGGCACAAACTGAGGAATTCTGTTGTGGCTTCTCTATCAGATGGTGAATTGTTCTCTAAAACCTAGTCAGCAGGAGCTGTTTCCCTAGAGTGGAGAGAGGAAGGGTGTTGACAGTGCATCTGCGGGTGAACACTTTGCTCCTTACATGCACACCCTCAAAAATGCCCTATAGGTAGAAGTGACTCTTATTTTCCTTTCATATAATTTCAAGCCTAAGTTCATCATTTTAGTACAAATTATAAAAACTATAGGGAAAAAAACCTCAAATACTTGAATGGCCAGTGTGGCTTTTATATAAAGCAGGAATTTTATACTAGTGAAAATTTCTTACTCATTTGCTAATACACATTTCCAGATGATTTTTAATGAGTGTAGGTATACATTCTTATTTGGAAATGGATAGTTTGGCTGCCTTGAATTTATATTTATACTCAACATTGCATGAAAACTAGAATGCCTTTTGGTTAAACTACATGTTTATGACTTGGTTGGGGGAAATATTTTCTAATCATGGGTGGCATGCTGGAAAGCCTTGCAGATTGATATTTCTTACAATCTGAGCATACTGTAAGCCTAAGAATTAAAAAAGAACACATAGCAAAGAGGAGTGGCTTCACAGCAAAACATTATGCCATGCAGACTGCATTTTGACAAGATATGAAGATCATGAATGTGAGGGCCACGAAAGCAAGGAAAGAGAACCAGAATCAACCCTGTAGCTTTACTTCAGTGCTTCCATTCTAGATGATCCTGGTATTATAAAGAGTTAAGTCATTACTGCTGAGCATAGAGGAGTTTATATATAAGCTTGTTTATGTAGTGTTTGCTTGTGGGAGGGTTTAATCCTTTCAGGACTTCGATGTCAAAAAAGAAAAAGACTATATTTTGCTAAAGATAGAAATGAGGAACTGTGTCATTTTGGGACATGTGCAAATCATTGAGGAACTCCATCAACCTGCATTGAAAAAATTTTTTTCTCTAAACTGAGAAACAGAATAAGCAATCTATTTCCTCTATTCATTCATCACAGTATCCTGATTCATCACAAGACTGTAAGTATATAAGGGCTAGAAAATAATCATAGCATTAAGAAAGAAGGTGTCAGTCATTTTGCTTGAATTCTGGTAAAAGTCATGGATGAGTTTTGGGTCATATTTACTTAAATATGAGAAGAGTTTTTGTGCAATAAGAAAAAGCATATAAGGTTGTTCTGACTGGGATGTTTATCAGACTAAGAATGCAAGAAAAAAGAAAATAATAAGTACAATGTAATCACAAACACTGGAATTTCATTTCTTTATTGTATACCAGGCATTTTATGAGTAAAGTTGCTGCCTCCTTTTCCACTTGAGATTTGGAAAAAAGTGTCAGTCCTAAGAGAATAGTGAAAGGGAGAGTAACCGATTGACCTAGAAATGAGAATAACAAAAAACAATATAGAATAGATTTATGTGGGTCCACAATGTACTACATCAGTTCAGTATCAGTAGAGACATGCACCTACCAAACAGTTTTCATCATCTCATCACTAGAAATATAAAAGTTCAGACCTAGGGTTTGCCAAAGAAAATGAAAACATACTCATTCTCACACAAAACAATTTTTGCTTCATTATTTCTTAATATCTAATATAAACACAAGTTTAAACCAGATAGTTATATACATAAAGTGACTACATAGTTCATAATTTTAATGAAATATTGTTTTGTACATTATTAACTGAACTGAATGGAATATTAAAATAGTTAATCAGCTTGAAATCTCTGTGAAGCAGTAATTTCACACCAGACCATTGGAAAAGTTTGTAAATTTAACTATTGGCTTATTTCAGAACAAAATGTCTGTGGACATGGCAGCCATCACAAGCAAATATAAATGCCTTTTAGAATTGCAAAGATTACATAGTGAAAATAAAGAACATTATGTGACAACTTCTGCTATCCAAGAGCAAGACTCTTCTGAATCATATGTAATAAGTTACTAAGTAATGATTACAAAAAAATTATCAAGTAAGAAAGGATACAGGCTGATTTATTGAAATAAGCAAATGTTACATTTATTAGTCAAATTGCCTATAATCTTTTCATTGATACATAATTTGGCTTTTCATATACTATGTACTTCTTTCCTTTCTGTGTGATTTTAAAACACAATATAATGGATAAAAACATTACCCAAACTTCACTGGTAGTTCCAATATATGAATGATGGTGTATATACTGAATCCTAGGGATAATCATGTAATATTTGCAAGTGATACATATTGTGTTGATATCTCTAATATGGTATAAATACAGACCCGTGCTTTGTGGCTCTTCCAGTAGAATAACCAGTGTGTTCTTATTGACTAAACTCAGTGTGCTGTCTGAAGAGGAATGGATATTATATACAAATAGACTTGTTAAACAAGAGTCATGAAAATGATCTTTTTAAAAAGTTTTTGGAATTATTTCCAAAAACTAATAAAGGTCGTGATTTATTGATAAGCTTTGAGTCTGTGAAATTGTAGTATATACTAAAGCAATCTTGTGGATGATGATTAGATCTTTTCAGCAAACAAAGCAAAAAGTTTGGGTTTTTGTTTTTTTTTTTTTTGGTACCGGGGATCAAACTCAGGTCCTTGCGCTTGCAAGGCAGGCGGCGGAACCACTGAGCTAAATCCCTGGCCCTAAAAAGTTTGTTTTTTGATGTTCTTAAGAGCATATTACAAAGTGTCACAGATGTCAAACAGAACATGCCATCTAACCAAAAATGTAAAACTCAGATGACCTTTTACAAATAGCTGTAAATACAATCTCAGCCAAAACATGAGATCACAGAATGTGTCAAGTCAAATCATACTGAAGAATCTAACCATCCTGTTGGATTTTATGTACCTTCATGATACTGATTTATTATGACCACAGGAAATGAGTGCCAGAATATAAGTATCTACCTTACGGGTTCCATCTTGCCTGAGAAACAGCCATATCTACATCAGAAAACTATAAACAATTATCCTTTAAAAATTAGAATTTTATGTAATAAAGCAACAGCAAGGGGTAGTATCATAACATTAATATGAGAGCTAAATATTTAATAAATAACTGCAGTAGAGGAGGAGGAAAAGAGTCTTGTAAAATAGACACATTCTAGCACTGTTTAATAATAAAACTGGAAATTTTACCTTAGCAAGTATAAAAACAGTGAAAAATGCACCTTCAAGCTCTTCTCACTAGTGATATATCAATGTATATATTTAGCCAGTGGTCATTAGATATTATCTTCCTAAACACATCTGATACTCATGCATTGCCTTGGCCAAAAAATGTCAGAAGTAGGTGTTCTGTAACCTCAACTGGAAAGATATATAATGTTAGAATCCCTGAGCAAAGCCATTCCCTAGGATAGAAATTTACCTCGATAGTCGTATAATACAAAACACTTGGCATAGTAGCAAAAAAAGTTGCCTTAGTGTTCTAGTCTCATCTGATTGTAATCTTTGACTTTAACATAACACTCAAATCATTTCTCATGTTTCCCCATTTTTGTAATTTTGAAGTGATTCTGAAATAGTTCAGGTCAGATTAATAATGTCCAATTACAAACATCTTTTTCAATATGTGTATACTTTGAAATTTAAGCCAATAGTATAGAAAGCCTAAAAACAAATGCTGATTTGGCATATTGCAGAAACTGAGGGAAAAATACAGGTGATATCATGAAATTCCTGACAATTTTCTGGTAGAAGGCAAAAGTAATAGCCTTCAATTTTGAAGAGAACTGTGAGCTTATAACTAATGGGACATAACACACATCCTTTTTTAGAACAATGATAATTCTTTATACCAAGTAAAAATGTAAGACCACAAGAACCTTAGTGCTATAACAAAGTCTTCACAGGCATGCATAACTAATACTTTTCAAGAAAAATGAGGGCATAACCAGTAATTCATAGTCAGTACATGATATGTACAAAAAGTTATACATGAAAAACATTTATATATGGAGATTTTTAGGGATTCTATGCCTTTTGAATTTAAAGAACAGTATGTCTTCAAATTTTTCTTACACTAAGACTGGTAATAATCAAGTTTTACTCAATGTGTCCTTACATTAAAGGGCATGCTGGGCAGTGTAGGAACACATGTCATAAATTTGAATGTCATGCTGATTCACAAAACTTTGCCATGTGCTCTGCTATAGAGCTAGATTTATATGCCCTTAAGAAGGGAAAATATCAGTTCAATATAAATATGAAAATATGATAATTCTAACATGTTAGGTCACTCAGCTTCAGAACAAGAGGTCATTAACTTTTAATTCACTTAGAAAAACTGGAGATGATGAACAAGAATGAAATGATAAACATTTTGACTAATGAAGATGTATATTGACTATTTTTTTCACTTCCTTTTATCCATAGAAAAAAGCATTAGTTTCCATTGAGACATTTCTGTAGCTCTTGGACTATAGTTAGAATGAATCCCAGGCATAGTATTTTTGGAAACTGGTGATTTTATACATGCCTTATATATGATGAAGCTTTGGTCAGACGCGACTGCATGGTAGGATGCTTCTTCCTGGTATAAGACCTGATGCTGCTTGTACTTGCCACCTTCTATGCGAATGTATGTCGCTACATTGGCCTGTCTCGCCAAGATAGGGATGAATAAAGCCTGGTGTGAGCTATCTGCTTGAGAAGTCAGTAGGATGCATGTTTGTTTGCGGTCCTGTAATGTCAATTTGAACTTGTTCCCTCTATATTTTAACAGCCCAGTTTTTGAGATTAAACACACTTTGCTTGAATGAATGATTTTTATGTGATACAAAATTATCCTTAATTCAATGTCATAATTTCTTTGCTCTCACTGGAATAATATCACAGAGGCCACATTTCTTTTTACTGTCTTCTCACAGCTTTTCAGTATATACAATTGCTTGCATAAATTGAATTTTTAGTCTTTTTTGTCATGCACTTCTTATCTGTTATGGAATCCATTATTCCTTTCTATATTCATAAATACAAACTTTGACAATCTTACTTGACTTTCAAACCAACATAGTTTCCAAACAAAGGTGAGCATATGCCTGGTTTTTCTGCTTCTTTGAATCAGAGATCATTATTTGTTTGCTTTCTGTTTGTCACCCAAAAATAAGATAGTTTGGAGAGCTAACCTGAATTGAACAGCATTGTGCATTAGAAATAGTTCCCAGGAAATATGTTTTTGTTCCTCAGTATTTTCCTGCAGAAATTTCATGCAAAGACTATTCCTTGTACATTTCACATGTTCCTGTATCTTTCATTAGTTTCTAACTTTTATAGAGCTATTCCTTGAGAAAAGTGAAATGCTGAGTACAATGGCTGTTGCCTCCTGATAAGGCAGCTAAAGAAATTTGTTTTTGGAGAGTATATCTTAAATAATTATATAGTAAAATGAATACTATAATATAGTGTTCAGTTTAAAGTACGTGAAGACGTGCATGCCTAAAGCCTTGAGTCTTTGATCTGTTCTCTTTACATATAAATTACATATATACTAGAAAGAGAGCTAGAATAAAAGAATTAGGAATATTATAGCAGCAGCTTTTTGCTGCTTTGATTTTGACTGGATCAGCATTTCTATTGTGGACCTCTATTTTCAGGGGTTTTAGAGAGTTGGCCATAAAAATTTGCTTTGCTTTAAGCTTAAAAGTCTTGAAAGATTTTTTGTTTTAGGTATCTAATTTTAAACAAATATGTCTTTCTTTTATATTACAGTAAAGAAATAAATGGAATTATTAGTTCAATTTTGTGCTAATATCTTTTAATAAACATAATTTTGAAACAAAACCAAAATCAAATTAGATCATGGTTTGTTAATTTTAAAAATTTAATATTGTTGACATTGAGAAATTTGCCTGCTTCATCAGTATAGTTACCTATCTTTAAGATGTTTGAAAACTTGTATACCTGTATTAACATTATCCTGATTCCAGTAGCGGATCAGTATGATAATGAGTGCAGATTTGTGACATGCTTACGATTTATCTGGTAATATAGATTTGGAAATATATAGTATATATAATACATATATATTTACTAGATAGACTAAGGGGAGAAAGCTCCTATGAATTTAGTTTGTCAAATAAATACCATATATTAAAGAAATTGCACAGACATTTATATTTCAGAGTCTGAATGAGATGCAAGTAATTGCAAAGGAAAGTTGTCTCTTGGGATAAACAATATACATTTTATAGCTTCTTATAAAAATCATTTTTCCTTCCTATATTGTGGTTGTGGAAAATTAAAAGAATTAAAATTAATACAGACTTTGTTTTAAATAACATTAAACTGTGAAGCAGAGAGAAAAACGCCAGGAAATTAAAAATTTAGGCCATTATTTTGTGGTTGTTTGAAAATACTTTAATTTCTCCTGATGTTTGAGTTATGATGAAAGTATTAAAATCTATCTTCAAGTATCTAGATTACTCACATTACATTACACTCTTTCATCAAGTTTGTTTTTTATAACACATAGTTTTCTATGTGCAAGGAATGAAATATTGCCTTTTTTGCTGAATGAGTTCTAAGATTTCTAAGTCGTGAGTTCTGGAGTTCTTCTCACACAGGATTCTATACATGTCTACCATCTTAAATCTGGATATATATATGTGTATATATATACACACACACATATATATATATGTTTTTTCCAGACAGCTTCTACTGACAAACACAAAGTTCGTTTGTGTGCAAATACAAGGCTAATTAAATGGTGCTAAAGTGTATTATGACTGTCAGATATAATCAGGCAAAATTTTGTGGTGCTTAAATTAATTTTTTCATTTATTTTTCATTGATCAGTGCATTGAACAGTGTTTATTCACAAGTTGTCTTTTATTAGTGAATCAAGGCCTCATAGCACATTGTTAAATAAAATGGTTTGATTAGTGTGTGTAACAGCTCACCAAGCTATTATCTCTTAACTCCTTATAATGTTGTGTCATTAAAGGTCAAGGGGCCATGCTATTAATCTCATTGCTTTAGAACCATTAACACAACTGAACATTTTCACAAAGTACTTATGTTTACAATGCTATAACCCTTTGACTGCTGCGGCAACCTTTAACCACACATGTCCCAAGCTAGAATCATCAGCATGGTTCTTGCCATGGCAATCAAAGAGTTAAGGGCTGTGCAGTGATTTGTTTTGTATTTATTAATTTATATTTATTTCATTTCCATTCAAGGAGGGGAGTTGGGGTGGGGCAGTTTTTGTCTGCTGTGTCTTAACCTAGGGAAGGGTTAAATGGCTTTTTATACTATTGCATCTTCTGTATTTACCATCAATTCATTGTGTTGTAATTAAAAAAAAACTGTCAATAAATAAGAGAACAGAAAAATGTTTCATAGACATTGTGGTTTTACTCAATGAATGATTACTCACATTGTGACTAATACATAGCATATGATCTATAGCAATAGACTTTACTGTCTATGTGTTCCATATCACTATGAAACAGAAAATAAAAATACTTGAATAATTTGGGGCAAAATCTCCTGTAAATTTGCCTGAATTAGCAAATACATTAAAATTGGCTGCATAAACTGGAGAATTGTTTAATGACTCACTAAATCCATATAATATTTTATCAAGGATAGGAGCAGAAAATATCACTGCATCAAATGTATTCCAGAATCCTCATGAACATAGGACATATGAAGATTTCTGCAAATACTTGACAAAGAAAAAAGATAACATTTTGGACAGGTAAATGTAATCTATTATTTTAAGTTAAAAATTATGACTGTCTAGGTCAATTTAACCTAAGAAATTGTTTTTATATCAAAATTTTGACAGAATTTCTTTTAATTCTTTCCATCCTTTTCTTATTCATTTATCTATCTGTTTGGTTACTTTTATATGGTACTTGAGATTGAATCCAGGACCTCACGCATACTAATCATGCTCTGCCACTTCACTACATCCCCAGATCTCTCTTTTTTTTTTTTCTTTTTCTTTCCAGGATTAAACTCAGGCCCTTGCACTTGTAAGGCAGGTGGCGGCACCACTGAGCTAAATCCCGAGCCCAATCTCTTTTTCTTTTAATAACAAAAGTATCATAACTGACACAGTGAAAAAAAGCAAAAAATAAAGATAAGCATATTCATACTTAAACTTTTAATAAAGTATCTTGAACTAAATCCACTGTGAAATTTTTTTAAAACCTTGTCAGTTTCAGGAAGAATTAGAAATCACACTGGCAATAAAGTGGAAAAGGTGTTTTCTCATCAAAGATTAAGGTGTATCTATACACCAGAAATTAATCTTATAAAATTTAATCTACATGCAAAAGAGGAGCTCTGAAGCAGGGTTACTAAAATGATTGCAGAGATTTAATTGCCTAATGTAATACAAAGTAGACTAGAGAAACACAGAACTGTTTACTTTTTGAGTTCTGGATCTAGGGCAAATCCCCAAGAATTTGAAGATGATCAAGGCATTACAGGAAGACTTGAACATAAGAATTGTTGGACTTTTAGTTCATCTTAAAGACACTGCAAGCCTTAGACTAACAACAGCATGGTTCCTTTCTATATTTGTAGAAGAATTTTAAACAAAAGATAACTCTTATTTGTGGGAAGCTATGAAAATGTTAAACCATGAAATCCAAAGAAACCCAAGAGTGACTCTCCCTTGTACTTATTGTTAAAGGTAGAAAGAAAAAAAGGTAGAAATATCAATCTGACACAGTAAAGAATATATTTTTCTTATGTGGATGGATTTACTTATTAACTTAATATCAAAATATATAATATATATGAGAAATAGATACATATATTACATGGCTTTTGTCACAATCACAGTCCAAATTTAAAAATAACTGGGGAAGAAGAAAAATCTAGATAAGTTTATGGAGAAATCAGTAACATTCCAACACACTCTAGGAACATAAATGTTTAGTAAAGTGAATAATAATGCTTGTATATTTTAGATCTATCTTTAATGTATTTGGACATATTTTCAACTAAGTTTCATGTACTCCACCACCCCCTCAAGTTAGTTACACTAGTATGACACTAAATTTCTTCTATGTCTTTCCTTTCTCTTCTTTTCCCCTTTGCTTTCCCTATTTCTCTTTTACTTGAAAAAAATTCATAAACTGTCCATTTTACTTCTTTACTCTCTTATTCATTGTAATTTTATGGCACTCCTCACCTGTTTCTTTGAAGTTAAATAAAATATGAATTACTAAATTGAGTTTTTCTCACTGGGGATTTAGCTCAGTGGTTCCTCCGCCTGCCTTGCAGGCACAAGGTCCCAAGTTTGATCCCCAGTACCAAAAAAATAAAAGTAAAAATAAAAATAAAAAATAAATTGAGTTTTTCTCATCCTTTTCTTGCATGGCTTATTCACAATATTTGTTACTGATTATTATTCCATCATTAATACTTTTTCTAGATATCCTCTTCATAGTAGGACTAATCATTTCTTATTCCTCTTTTCCAAAGCCTAATAAAGTACTTGTTGTACAGTCAAGCTTCAATAAAATGTTTATTTTTAGACATTAAAGATTTGTACCATCTACACACTGTGACTTACTTTCTAAACTAATTCTTGGGAGTTTACATGTCTCCTTAAATGTTCTTAATCTCATTTTTCTACATTTATCCTGGACCCTCATTCACAATCATGGCTTTAGCTATGTGGTTATGATGTGTTGTGAAATCCGGATTTACAATTGCTACCCATTCAATGGACAAATTCATCTGCGTGTTTTATACTCCTTCTAGATTCATTTTTACACATATAAAATTCTTCACCATCCTTTCCCTTCCTGCAGCATAAACATCACATTTCTTGAATTGTCTAATTCTATTAATGGCTTTAGATTCTCTAAGTTACACATGCATAAAAATTTCAAGCAACCTCCTTCCCCATTTGCCACACATGCCTTCTTATGTATTTGCCATGTTTATGAATTCTCCTTCAATAGCATCTTTGGTGTTTGATTTCTCCTTGGCATTCCTACCCTATATAATGTCCCTAGTTCTTGACTTACCAATATTCTTGGCTAACTGATTATTCTTTTGCCTAACTGAATATTCTTTTCCAACACATCTGCACTTCCTGGCACAACATTCTTCTTACAGTAGAGTTCAAGCTATATTCCTTTACTATTAAGAACATGTAATTCATATATGCATCTTCCAAAATGTATTCTGTACTTGTCTTTAAAGTTTTTCATATATATACATACATATATATGAAATAGATTATATATTTGAAGAGAATATATATGTGAAATAATATATATATATACACTAGGAGAATATAGTAATATATATTATGCTAGTAGTAAATAGTAAAATATATATATATATAAATCTCCAAATATTGACTATGCCTCATACATGCTTTTCGTCATGTATGTCTCTCCACTTTTAATGTCACCTTTCCCTCTTTTTCCTTTCCTAACATAACAGAGTGAACAAAAGTCATTGGCTTTGAAACCTTGTGTCATCTCTTTGCATTGTTTTTTGGGGGGAGGGGGTGATTCGAGAAAATATAATATTGCTTCCCTTTCCCTTCAAAGGTTTTCCAATGTAAGTAACAAATATATGCTCATAATCTTATGCAACTTCCTAGATAAAGCTTATGATTTTATTTGACCTTGTTTATATTTTTTCTTTTTAATGCCTAAGCTTTTGGGGATTGCATTGATCTCACTTTGTTTTCTCATTTCCTGATGCAGCACCTAACAGTGCCTTGTCTAAAGGAAATGCTCCAGAAATGTGTATTTAACTAAATCAAATTGTACTTTTTACTACAATTGGCATTGCAGAAATTCTATTTTGCTTTGTTATACATTCTTTCATCTACTTTTCTAGGAGTCTAATGAATACAGATATTTAAAAGCATTTGCTTCCAAGATCAAACATATTAAGGACTGGACCTTGAATCTTTCTAAGACTTTACTTTTTTCCAGTGCTCTTTAAGTATTTCTCACTCAATCATAATGAAAGCCTAAAGTTTAGGTTTAATCATTTTTATATTCCAAGAAGAAACCTTCAACAGCTGTAACCAAGTGAAATGGAATAATCTACATTTTATTTCAATAAATTAAATCAGACTTTCTCAAATGTATTCATAGACATCAAAGAAATATCTTTAGGGGCTTGGGATTTAGCTCAGTTGGTTCTGCTGCCTGTCTCGCAAGTGCAAGGTCCCAAGTTCAATCCCCAGTACCAAAAAAACCCCCCCAAAACAAAGAAATATCTTTAGTTTACTCAACATGAGGTGGTAGGGCAGATTTCCTTACAAAAGAGACATTATGAAAAAATATTTTGAAAATCTTAGTCATTTGCTCATTTAAAGGAAAATGGGGTTCAAATTCTTGCAGGGGTAGTATAAGGTCTACAGGACAGGATTTTAACATATTGTTAAATATAAAGTTAATTAAGGTATTGGTGAGAGGTGTTGGAAAGGGAGAAAAGCCAAGGCAAGGATAAAAGAGGAGAAACACTAACAGTACAAAGGCAGGTAAAAAAATGGTTTTAAAAAATGTTTGTTCCTCTCAACAGTTACTACTCAGATATTACACTTAACAATAACTTTCACCTCAGAACCCTTTATAGATTTTGCCTGGTGTGTGACATGCATATAAATTATGTAGTAGCACTTGCAGGTCAAATGATGGATCAGACATAGGCATATAATTTCCTTCACTCTAAAGCACTACTTAAACCACAGGAAATAGATAATTTTTAACAGATTTGTGGGCTGGGGATTTAGCTCAGTGGTGCCACCACCTGCCTTGCAAGCTCAAGGTTCTGAGTTTAATCCCCGGTACCAAAAAAAAAAAAAAAAAAACTTGTAAGAAGAGAGTGCAATATATATACGTGTGAAACATATATATGTAAAATATATATAGAATATGTATGTGAATAGAATATGTGAAATAGTATATATACTAGCAGTATATAGTTATATATATAAACCTATAGCTATATATTAATTTATCCAAATATTGACCATACCTCAGCCATAGTTTTGGTCATGCATGTCTCTCCACTTTTAATGCCACCTTCCCCTCTTGACAATAGCAATATTTGGAAAGGTGAAAGCAAGTGGAAATCCAGTAGTTGGCTTGGTAGGGACAGGGTCAAGCAGAAAACAAACACAAACTATGTCACAAAGTGCCAAAGTCTTCATTGTGGAAGGCCCAGGTTCCAGTGTAAGTGGGCTAAATAAAAGTGACTAAATTGAGAATTAAAAGTATTGTAAAGTCCGGTTAAATGCTCTAGATCCTTCTTGCGTTTGGGCAACATTTTTTCCTCTCTTCAGCTAAAACCCACCTTTTTTTCCATGAGGAGTATATGAGAAAGTCTTTGAAATGCAGA